TCTAGTAGTGTCGGTAGAACAATAGACCAGTAGACCTGAAACGATATGCTTCCACTTCTTATCATGTACGATAATTTACCCTACATTATCTCCGTCACATTACTAGCTCAAGCCATACATGCGTTTTGGTTGCATGCCAACTCCATTTGCGGTTGTTAGTAACAAATGAATGATTCTACTCTCACTGTATGAATACTGATTTTTTCATTGCAGCCTCATCATGATGGTCCTCTTTACTACCCTGCGGTTTCCACTATCAATCTTGGATCCTATGGAGTACTTGACTTTTACAAACCAGTGCAAGATGACGCTGATGAGGTGAGTCTAATCCTGGCTTAAGCTTGGCTTTCAATCCACGGGCCATTCTTAGGATATGAAATCCAACACTCTGGAGGAACGGTATATCGGTTCGGTTCTGTTGGAGCCACGTAGTTTGAACATCGTCACGGATGAGCTATATACCTATTATATGCATGGAATTGCCGAAGCAAGCAGTGATGTGTTTAGCCCACCGGATCAATGCGGTGACACAATCCCGACCGCTTCATCTGATTGTCATCGTGCGACGATTATCAATTGGCCAGTGAACGGATCAGCCGACCAAACGTCACTCGGTCCACGAACTCGAGAGACCCGAATTTCAGTCACAATTCGCCACGTTCCAGTTGTTTCCCGATTGGATGTGCGGACTCTACTCAAGAAATCTTGACACGTCTCCCCCGTTTTAAGCTGCCCAGTCCATTGCCGAAATATCTCCTTGCGCCTATCACGTTATCTTTATGAGTTAAAATATTTTTTCGCTCGTCACTCGAAGTGGTTATCTACTTTTATTACTTTGCCCATTGACTGGAATGTACAGTGCGTGGTATAAATGATAGTCTGACTTTAGAATGACCATATCTAGCAACTGATTGTTGATCGGTGGTCAGTTTTGTTGAGGTCCATCGTTGTTACGCACTGGCTATGTGCATCGCCCTTATTTCTCACCTGTATCGGCGCACGAAAGTGCATGGTTAATGGTTGTTCAAACTGAAACTGAAACCTTGGAAAGGTTAAGGTAATTTAGTTCAGGCAGAGTCATCGAAGTACTTATCCACATCTTATTGATTCCTGAAATGTTTGCAACGAGTTAATCTAAAATGATACTATGTCGACCCCGATGTTCAAAACCCCGGAAACTGCCACTAGTTATTGAGACCCCTTTTGGATTGGTAAGTTGCATTGCCCGACAACCATATCTCATGACGTCAAATATTTTGATCGCTTTTCCCACTTTTTACCTCTCGAACGCGACAACACACGACCCTATGTGGTAGATACCTCCACCAATTATATAGTATGTTTAAATAGTGGTCTGCACCTGCAGTGACAATGTTCTTTTGAGAAATATGGGGCTTTCGGAGCTGCATTTTGACATCTAGATACCACCTAAGATTGCCTTTTCTTCGTGCTATGACAGAGCGCACATTTCGATCAAAAACAAAACACGGTCGACTTTTCATTGCAGGTACAAGCTTTCCACCTTTTTCTCTTTTGCTTCCGTTTGGTGAGGGTTAAACCGCAACGTATAAATACATGATGCTGTCAGCTCTTGGGCAATTATCCTTGTGAATAGTCCATGGTACTTTCCGCCTATTGTATTCAAATCGATGACAAGGTGTCACTTTATCCGCTATTTATATAAATATGGTGCATACATTTCTGTCCATAGATGTCCACAGAAGAGGAGAATGATTAGATCTGAAATAATTTAGGAAAGACCTGTTCTCTGCTAGCTAGAAGATGTTATAAGGACGGTGTTGTGGAGTTACAATGTGTGTTTTTACTTGAGGGAACCTAATTTTATTGAGGTCTAGTAAACAGCGGGTAACGACAGGGAATGGACTCTGTGTGCAGTGGATAAGTAGAATCCATCCAAATCTTATTTGCGGACTTCTCACACGCGTCTGCAGCTATGTGGAACCGTTTATGTCGCATCATACTTTAGCATTATGTTGTCGGTAAAACCTCTCCGCAAAACCCTTGTAGCCTGAGACTCACTTACAACGTACTTTTGTTATCACAGTGCACTATTCATACCCAGGGTCTTTGGAAGTTAATCGAGTGAAGCTCGGATGAGGAAGACTGTAAAGACCATAGACTACAAATTAGCAGCTATAACTGAACTTGTGTTAATTGTGTGTGTGTGTGAGCGAACGATACGTGGAGACGCCGAGATCATGTCATTTTTGTCGAGATTGCACCAATCAAAATCTGCGTCAAAATGTTTGACCAAATCCCATGCGCCCTTAAGACACCTAATAGGATACGCGCACTTGTCACGGTGTGTCCAACTCAAACTGGGCATCGGGGATTAAACTGTGGCTGACACGACGTTCATTTATCATTCTCGCTCTTTTTGGTCTGTCTCTGAGGTGGTTCAGTTGGTTTTGCTGAGAACAGGAGGCCTCAGTGTATAAAAAGCGTATGACAAATTCCACTACAGGCACAGTAAGGATGATGATGACGGTCGCGGTGCCACAGGAATCGCAGGTTAGTGAAAGCCACTCTAGCTTCCGCTATTGGTTATGTGAACTCTTCCCAACACCACTCTAGGTTAAAGCTTTTAACTACTTCTAGCGGATCACTACAATAGTTGAGTGCAGGCACAGGTTCCTACCAGTCTTGAACACGCGTTTCGCATTTGGATGGTCCAAACGGCATACCAGACCGGGATACGTATTGCCAAGCGGTTCAAATTGTGTTGAACTTCCTGTGTATTTTCACCCGGCGAGGCGGAATTATCGGCATTATCAAAATTAAGAATTATGCTTTTGGTAGGATTTCAAACATACTGCTTGCCACTTCCAAAGCACTGATGATATTCCCTCGGCTTGTGATGAAACGTTTGCAAACAAATTGCCAAGCTCGGCGAAAAGGCGAAATNTCGGCGAACAGGTGAAAAGGAATTCAGTTCACCCGAACTACGAAAACCGATTTTAAATACTTTGTCAACCGTTTGCTATATCGGACAAAGCATTCCGTAGAACACTCTGCGCCTAACCTCAGTATTGCTTGTACGGTATCCCCACCAGACTGGTGTGATGCCGGTTAGACAGTGGTGTTCGAACACTGAAAGTCTATTAAGAGTAGTAAATTTGTAATAATCTATTTGATTGTTCACGGGCACCAGGCACTGTTAGTACTCTTGAATGTGGGTTTCGCTCCTTGGGAGATCGTTAATTTCCCACTACTTGAATGTATTTATAAGAGATGGAAAGATTTGTAATGATAGACAAAGAGCACTGAATAGCTGCTTCGTCCTGTTTGGGATTCTTCAACAGTATATGGTTCGAGTCTTGACAGGCACACAAAAGGTACGCCATACTGACTAGTCCCAAACGGGACGAAACAGCTATCCATTACTCTGGCGGTCATCAAAAATCTTTCACCAATGGTCTATCTTTACATTGTTTTTTGTAACAATCTAGTCTGTGCATCGTATAGCAGAACTGGCCCAACTACAGTAACATACTTAGGCAGTCGGATGTCGTGACGGCGCCTTAGTTTTCTCAAGTTAGGGATTGCCAACTGAGCTCCCTGGATGCGTACTGACATTTCCTCCGTGATATATCCGCTGGGTGAGGTATAGCTTCCCAAATATTAAAATTTGTTCATTACCTCAATTACTTCTTCAGTTAGGGTGAGATTTAGAGCTTTACGAACCCAGTCCTTGGGCAACATTTTACGTTTGGAAGACGTAAAAGGTATACTGAACATGGCTACAGTAACACTAATAAAAATCTAGGAATGCCTGCAACTTGGCTGGATCTCTCCTTAGCAGTACAATGTAATCAGCATACTTCAAATCAGACAGGTCTTTGGGTCATTTTATTGTGACCAAACCGTCCCGGTGCCGACAATATTGTGAGCGCTCAAGGTCAACTCACCCGACTCACGAAGAATAAAGCGTGAGGACGAAACTGAATCTGAAAAACGAACAGCCAGTGCTGAATTGGAGTCTTGTATGTGTCATATATGTGCATTTAAAGTTTCGAGGGTTCTAGAAAAGGCGCTTGTTGACCGATCTGATAAGCTGTGTAGTCCGGTAAATAAAGCATCCTGGTTTAATGAATCCATAGGTTTCTCATTTGTTTCCTTTACTACTTCAACACTAAGTGAAATACCCGGGATAGTAGAAACAGGTGGCATCTTGTATACTTAGAGTGAAAGGAAGAAGTAAACAGATGAGAAGATTTCCCTTTTTTGGGGCTGGTCGTACCTCGCGGTAGCCCACACACCGTATTGATTGCCATATCTCCCACTGAACTATTTCACAGTCGTTTTTAACGGTGTGAACAATTTTCAAACAAAGCTGATGATCACTGTGTCTTCATTAGTGTAAGTTGCAGTGTGGCTTGGGAGTGACTTACATGATTTCGTATCGTAGCATATATCTCGGGCCTTAATCTGATGGCGCAGCGTCAGCTTTTTGCGAGAAGAGGTTTTTATGAATGACCGATGGAACCGTCGAAATTCCGAAAACCTATCGGAGTGAATTCCCTCGTTAGATGGTAAATGGTGTTTAAATCTGTTATGTTCTGCCCAGACATACGTTCTTGCAACCATCACCAGAGCCTCTTCTTTAGCTCCCAACAATACGTGCGAGAGAACACCACGGGAGAACAACTTTCAGAGGTTATATCCTATGATCGTGATGCGATACACAAATATATGTGAGTAAATTGGGTGTGCCGGGACGACCTGGTGATGCACCAATCAGATCTCGTCCTCGACATTCCGATTGGTCGGTCAAACGACAGCTGTCTGATTTGTTCTAGTTATCCAATCCGGAATCAACTCACCCTGGGCGTCGCGAGGGGGCTTGTAGTGTGACGCGGATCCGTGGTCGGTTTGACGGGTTTGTCCTAACAAAATCGATTGACGTCCTGATGTTGCCAATGGAGAGGTCGTAGTCTTAACCAATGAAAAGTGACAATCTCGGAGTGATTCATCAACTGACAAGTAGAAATAGAAACAGATGTTGCATGTAGTTTCGTCATCTGAATCGATCTGTCCGTGCTAAGGAGTAGAGTTGATCGTTAGGTGTGTGCAGTTCTCACACAAAAATAAGAATGGGCATAGCTTTCAATCTCACTAGTGCATTTCCATCACGACTTGCCAGACGGATTAGATTTCTTTCGAGATTTGCGACTGATTCATCCCCATGCCCGATCCACCTGGTTTTCTGTATCATTATAGTTCACAAGTAGGAGTGCTTCGTTCCCTGTGTGGTGGCCCGGTGATAACGTCACCAAATTATCACCTCGGGGGACGTGTTCGCATCCCACCACCACCATCTGACTGCCCCCATTGGCAGACCGTTTGGCCGTTTGCCTCTTCTGGAAAATTGTATCGTTATGTATTCAATATAAAGGAAGTAAAAATGAAAAAGCGAAATGAATTATCCATACACTGAATATAAAATTTTGTTTAAAGAGCTCCGGAGGTTTCACCTTTTTGTAACATCAGTCGCAATTTACAATAAAACTTCAAACCCCAAAATCATAGAAACTACTGTGGGGTGGACGGAGCATTCATCCGAGACGCAAGGTGTTGGTTCTGCCTTTGAATATTAAAAGGTTATAAGTGGAAGGAAAATAGTAAGGAAGATTGTTTTTAGAAAAAGGGAATTTTAGCGCCGGCACTCGACAGTTTTGTTTCCGGAAC